GGATGGGGGCGCGAATTCGCGCCCCACAGATTGCGAGTCGAGCGTCTTACCCACCTGGTCATGCCGGGTCTTATTTTCATAAGTCATTAATAACAAAAAAGTAATTTATTAATTTGGAATATAATGAATTTTTGTGGAAACAAGGAAGCACATAAAAAAACTTAGTTTCCTCTTAGCATTTCACTAAATTTGTAATCCAGAGTCCCAAAAACTCACTACAGGAATTATTACATGGTACTTTAAATAAAATGTGTACTTCCAAAAATTAAATTGCACTATATAAGCTGAATTCTATTATACCACTTTGAGTTATGTGCATGAGCTTTGATTTGAATGTACCAATAACAAATTACACTGTTTTCTAAATATGACTATAAAAGTTTACATTTTAGTCAGATTACAGAGCTATGCTTAAAAGGCACTACAGTGAAAATTTTAAAACAAGCTTCTTGCATTTGAACCTCCTAACCTTCTTCTTTAATCATAAACAAAGGTATAAATACACACGTATCACAGGCAAATTACACTTACCTTATCTTCCACAGTATGCTTCAAGTGTTTGGCTGTTTCTGTTACAGTTTTGCCTGCTTTATTGGCCACAGAAAATAAAAAATCTAGAAAATAAAAAAAAGTGTAACAATGAACTAATAGAAATTTGTATTAGCTTTGATTAACAATTTGTTTAACAAAAAAAACAACAAAGAAGTCTTGATTGGGAAATTAAAACTTGGGAGAATTATCCCCAAGAATAAAAGAAACTGGAGAAGAAAGAATAATAAACCAGATGAAAAACTATGGATAAGACCAGATGATAGTACTTTAAAAACCCATAGAATTTTAATTAGAACCCATAGAACTAATACAGGATGGAGGAGATACTATGAGATTATTGGAAGAAGACTGAATGGTCAGATTAATAAAAGGATATATGACAAGACAATAACATTAAGGTAGGTTTCTGTCACCTTATCATGAGATAAAATATTCATTCTCTAGTAACTTAAAGTAAAACTTATTGTAC